TTAGCGAGGTCAGGAGCGACATTGTATAGGTACTTGTCCGAGGCATTGGGGAGGGTTCCAGTACCTGGAGAAGCCCATTGATTACGGACAACGTCTATGAAGAACCTTGGTGATGGGATCACCTCCTTTTCCACCATAGGCTGGATGAAGAGTGGGTCGGTGGTGTCAGCCTTGTCAGCTTCCAAACTCTGAGGTGCCTTTGGAGAGGGAAAGCCTGCGATCTTTTTGGCCTTGAAAAGGAGAGAACGAAAGACAGCAGGTTTAAACAAACCAACAAATGGAGGAGGGTTGGGAGGTAGCTCCTCATCCTCCGATAGATCTGAGTCTCTTGCAGGGCGTTCCGCTTCCCAAAACACTGATGGTTGACTGGAAGTGCCAGGCAGCTCGTGTGAAGAAGAAGCTGAGAGATCTCCATCCCTGCGCCTGGAACTAGAAGAAGAAGCAGACTGGAAAGAAGCAGAACAATTAGAGGACCTGTGTTTAAGGCCAGCTGCAATACCATGTTCTATGGCCTCAGAGATCATATCAGCCATGCCTGGCGAATAAAAACGGTGCTGGCGGGGATTGGGAGAGATATTTCCCCGGTAGAGGGGATCCTCATTAGGGGTAACGCTCCTGCCACAATCTGAATCATCCCCACTGTAGGCTAAGGCGTCAGTGCCCCTAGCCACCTCGGGCTGCAGGATGGACGCAGCAGGGGAGAGGTCATCCTCTGAATCCGAAGGAAAATCAGAGGGGGGACTGGAAAGAATAGGCCCTTGGTCCTGGAATATGCGAGGTTCAGTGTGTTTAGTCTTAGACTTGGCCTTCTTAGCTAGAACCTGAGGGGCCCTGTCATCCTCCTGAAGAGATGGATCCTGCACCTCCCTCTGAGTAGGCCTGGGGTCCCTGGAGGGGGGGGGCTCTGCGTTGGTAGCCTGAGCAGGCCTGCACTTGCGGCCTCGAGTAGCAGGGGGTTCAATGGTAAGGGCAGGGGCCAAGGAGGTAGGTGGCAGTTGAGGCTCCAGAGGAGAGGAGGCCATAGCCAGAACTCACAGTTCCTTGATCCAAAATGGCCACCGGATGATCTTCGCGCCAGAATTAATGGCCACTGAGGCTGCAGAGCCTATGGGCCAAAGCCATGAGGTAGCCGAGGCCTCGCAATGTAAATGGGCTTTTTAGGCCCTGTGGAGAGGTTGAGGAGCCAGGAAACAAGCCACAGACCTTTAAAAGCTGGTTGGAGTGATGATGGGCAGGCACGGAGGTAGCCTCGTTGTTATTTCAGTGGAGGGAGGCTCTGTTGCTGATATGAAGCTCCCGCGGCGTTCAGAGGCTCCTGGAGGCAGAGGCGGCAATTAGCGGCAAGGCAGGGGCCTGGGATTTCCCCTCTAAGGAGATTGGAGTCTCCTGAGTATTTCAGCTGCTTCTGGTGAAATTCAGCCACAGAAGCC